GGGGCGGCTCAGACAGGGGCCAGCAATGCGCTTTATTGAAGACCTCAGAAGCCACCCAAACCACCGTCCGCTTGTCCTGCTCCCTGAGCTGCCTGGCCCAGCACAGAGGAACTGATGGGTGAGCTGGGGAGGGCTGGGCTCTCCCGGAGGTGTTGCACCGATGGCAAACGGGAGGGAGGAGGCCTGATCCTGCCCAGCCAAGAGGGACTGGCAGGCAGCTGCCTCCTGCTCTCTTCCAGCCCACCCTGCTGAGCTCCTCCCTGGAGCTGAGCTGGCTCAGGATGGTGTTTCTGTGAGGCCAGCTGTGGGACTGCGCTGTGGGACTGCGTAGCTTGGTGACTGGCAGGGGCTGCTCCCATGCTGGGTGTCCCCAGAATCACTGCTTGAGCTGAGGCTGGTGGAGTCTGCAGGGGAATATCGGGGAGCTCTTGGAGCTGCCATTGCATTGCGCGGGGTCTTTCCTCACCTCGTGCTCAGCCCAGTGACCCTCTCCCACGGGACTGGGTAAGCTCAGGAAGCAAAAACAAGCTGGCTACATGCCCACGGGTAGCTGCAGGGGTTAGCTTTGCAACCTCAGAAGATGCAGGTGCAGCCTACAGCAATGGTCTCCATGACCATCTGGTACTTCTTCTGACACTTCTTCTTCACTTCGCCAGGCACCTGGCAGAGCAGCCGACGGACAGGCAGCCGGCTGTAGATGGGAATGCTGACCATAGTGCGGTCCTCCTGCATCGTGAAGGGATTGATGCAGCCAGTGCAGAGACATCGAGCCTCAGGGATGTCTGCTGGGATCCGTGTTGCATCGTGGTTTATACTGGAGAAGAGGGAAATCAAGACAAGGCTGGAGAGACGGTGAGATGGGGGGCAGTGGGCAGCTAGGGACAGGAAGGGCAATGCCTCTGCAGAGTGAAATGGGCTATTGCCTGGCATCACACCCCTGGGCAGCCGCTGCAGCCCCATGATGCTGGAGCTGTGGCTGCTGCAGCACTTGCTGATGAGCCACCATGCGTGTCCCCCTGCCCCAAACTCACCTGTAGGCCCAGGGGGACATGCTCCTCCTGTTGGATCTCCAGAGCCTCAGGTTGACCTGGCACTTGTTGTCACTCGGCTCAGAGCTGTTCCTCAGCTGGCGCACCATGTCCTGGATGCTGCGCTCGTAGTCTGCCATGGTAGTGTAAGGGTCATCTGGGGCCCAGGCGAGGGCAGGTGTGGCCGTGGGGAGCCGTGCCAGGCCCCTTCTCCTGCCCTTTGCTGCCTTGCTTTGGTCCTTCGCTTCGGGGACCAGGACCATGGCAAAGGTGAAGATGCAGAGGAGAAGCTGAGGAAGGAGGAGGATGGTGTATGGCTGCCCAGGCTGCAGGGCTGTTTGGGAGCTCCCACACCTCCCACGCGTTACCGGGTGATAGCAGGACTGCATCACCTTTGGTGTGGCACGTGCAACCCATAAAAGGCAATGCAGGGGTGGTGGGAACACCGTTGTGATGAGCCCCAAGCGATATGTGATGCTGCAAAGACCTTCACCCTGTCGTAGCAGGCAATTCGCGACACCCCAATTGACCCTG